GGTTAGACGAGTCGCTGGGCTTATTCCTCTCGACATGGTCCGCAATAGTGACATGCGGAAGAACCTTGGAATACAGCCTTTGCTTCTCCAGATTGAGGATTCAGAGCTGCCATGGTTTGGGCATGTGTTGCGAATGGCTCCAGAAAGGAAGGCCAAGCAAGTGTTTCTTGCGAATCGGGCCAGCAGGAGGCCCAGGGGATGGCCAAGATTAACCTGGTGCAAATATATGGAAGGTGTCTGTTCCAGACTCCAGTTGTCTTCTGCTGAAACTGGGACTGTGGCAGAGGATCGGGAACGTTGGAAACTCGGTCTGACGCCTCTGCCTCCGCGACCCGAAAGGCGAAGCGGCGATAGATGATTAAGTTTAAATGGCTTTCGTAAGCAACTGGAAACAGGGAACAATGCAATACGCCTGAAATCTGGTCCTACATGAGTCATTTGTGATTAAATCATCGGCACATTAAATCATATGCTGAACATACCACTGTATCATTTTTTTGTTGCAACATAAAGCTGTAGTGTATTACTACGGTGGAATATGGTTGAACCGAACATGAACATGCCATAATTCCTCGTTTACTGAAACAGTTATATTTATTTACGAGTATAATAGGCTATAATGGCATTATTGCGCTCCTCTCGTATATGACAAGGTTCCGAGTAAAAATATGTTAGAAAAGTTTGGACATGTCAGTGTGTATTTTATAGAATCTTCTTCAATGACTGGAATAATGGTTACTTGACAGTGCTATGGCTTATAATCACACTCTACCATAACAAACCAAACTGACTAGGAATCACTATTTCAGTAGCTTCCAAAGGCCTGTTAGATACAGGTAGACAGGTTGGCCATACGCAGATTGCAGACTTACCATGACAGTGTTGTCTATGACGAAAACTCCATTCAACCATGTTAAAAGAACAACCTTTCGAAACGATCGATAGAAAAAATTATCAAGGATAAAAACACTTTAAGCATTGACTGATTAGCTCTCAGTGCAGCTTCATTAAATCTCTTCCAATATACATGACATTGCGGTACGCAGAGCTGGAGTAAACAAAATAGCCCAAGAATGTAGTCAAGAATAGAGCATAACAGATAATTTATATTTGCTTATGAAAATATCTCGAAACGTCATATCCCAAATCAGCATATGAACTTAGAAAAGATTACCTGCCTGATTAAGATAAATATTTCCTACCGCATATTTATTGCCTAGGCGTAGATCAATTCTACTATTCCCATAAATTAGGTATTATAAAATGCAACCATATTCTGCTTCAACTTTCACTCTCAAAATCACACATGTCTCGCGTTAGGGAAATACAAGTCATAACTATAGTTCGCAGCAGCTGAACAAATCAGGCTTATCAGTAAAATGTCACACTAAAATCATTAAACGCTGTATTCCTATATGCCAACGAAACGAAGAGTGGTCGTGGCTCCACCCACGCAATGGCAGGGTCCCGAATTACAGATAAAAGTATTACCGTTAGTAGCGATGAAAATCGCAAAAGTCTCTCATGAACTACTAAATGACTGCTCAGTGAAACCCTCGTGAAACAACGTTATAAAATAACCGTCATGTCGTCGCTCTCTTTTAGTACATTACATTATAACTTAGATCTACAAGGAGCTGTGTGAAAGGAGAAAGCCGGTGATGAATCAACAGCAACAAAAAGCGAAACTTTATATTAAAAATTGAATACTGCAAAAAAGGTATAAGGTACACGGAGAGACAGGCAGGGAAGGAAGAACGAAGCCAGGAAGACAACAATGAATCCAAAAAAAGCGCTGCGAGTAATGCAGAACAGCTTTATGCCTAGGCAAGAAGAATATATGACATAAGGTATCAAGAGGGAAGAGCAGAAGGCTGAACTCCAGGGGTGAAGGAAGGTATTAGGGAAGGAACGAACGGTGGTAAAAAAGCATTAAGGTTGTAAGGGTAGATGGGCTGAGGAAAGAATAGCTTAAGAAAGAAAGAAAGAAATGAGTAGAGATGAAATAACGGATGAAATTAGGAAAACAGTGAAAGAATGTATGCACGAAGGAATGAAGGGAGGCTCGGTAGGAATCGGACAGGAGATCAGATAGGAGTCAGCAAAGCGCCAAAAATCATAAAAGAAAACAAAAGAACACGAAAGTACGAAACTGAGAGAAATGCAAGCCAGCAAGGCAAGAGGCAAGGTGACGGGATGAAAGGGAGGCACTAAGGAAAGTAAGAATAAAACAGGATAACAAGGGAAGGTCAGAGAGACGGGAAAGCGCATGAGTAGAGGACCAAATGTAAGAATTCCAGAAGGCAGACGCGAAAAAAACAAACACAGTGAACAGAAAAAACGCATGTATAACATACGACAAATAATTAGATGGCCAGAGGGAGGCACTCAGACATGAAAGAATTCAAACATGATGGAATATACTAGAACGTTGGGGCAGGAACGTTAATGTAGCAAGATGTGAACGACGGAACTAAAGAACAAAGAAATGATTATGGCAAGACAGAAAGACAAGGACGACGAACGCTTGAGTCTATGGAAAGAATAAAGAAACTAAGTGTTCATAATGGTATGAATAAACATCTGAGCAAAATTAAGTGACAACACAGTATCGAAGAATGAAGACAAAGGAGGAACTCAAGACGAGAGGGCTCGCCACAGGCAGCTAACAAAGGAGAACATGAATGCATGACAAAGAAAAAAATCAATCAACCATAGCAGGACAGAACAAAAACGAAGGAACGCGTGAACGAAGGATGACATCATACGATGAAGGCATCAAGGAAGGAAAAAGATCGAGAGAATGTTCAAGCCTGGCAGGAATGTGAAGAAATCGAAGCGGAAGAACTAACATCCAGAAAACAATTTTTTGGCCTTGACAATGGACAATGGTCAATCTAGACAAAATGTCCAAACGCTGACAAAAATCAGCTATTTAGGTCCCTAGGTAAAATTTTCACTTCACTTTCTAAGACTGCTTCTCCTTTCGGGTCGCGGAGGCAGACGCTTCAGACAATGCTTCCAACGTTCCGGATTTTGTGCCAGCGTTCGAGCTTCGGTAGAAGACAACTGGAACCTAGAGCGGATTCCTTCAATACATTTGCACCAGATTAATCTTGGCCGTCCCCTGGGTCTTCTCCCGGTCGGATGGGTTAATAGTAGCTGTTTCGTCTCCCTTTCTGGAGGCATTCGCAATACCTATCTAAATCATCTGAGCTGTGACTTCTGAGTCTGAAGTAGCAGCGGGTGTCGTACCAAGGTTCTCTCGAATACTTGTACCACGGACCATGTCGAAACGCGCTAGGCCAGCCATTCGCCACAGAAAGTCCATTTGAGCCGCTGATGCCCGGGATCAAAGTTTTCAGTCATGGCCCATGACTCATGACCGTAGGAGAGCATTGGAATGAAGATCGACTTGAACACCAAGAGCTTAGTCTTCAGACTCCGCTTTGCCAAAATGGCTCGGGTTCGGGCTAGTTCACGCAGAACGCCACTGGCTACTCCAATCCGCCGGTCGATCTCTTCCTACTAATTTCAAACACCAGTAAACACGTCCCCGATGTACTCGAACTTCAAGTGTTAAATTCTGTAACGCATATCACCGAGTAGTCCGCATGAACATTATAAGTAAATTATCCAATCGTCTAATAGTTAAAGAGGGAAGAAGCAAAGGAACCTGCTAAATTATTTGTGAGCCTGAAACATGAAAATAGGACGTTTAGCACGGTTTGGATATGCGACATTTGTCTGTGAATAGTGCATTCAAAGAAGATGAAGATATAAATATAATTCTGCGATAAGCTTCATACCTGGCGATCGCCTCCATCGAAACGGCTTTTCTCGATGCGGTCTAAAAACGCATCGCACCAGAAAAGCCATCCGTCGTCGTAGTCAATTGCCAGACCATTAGGCCAGTGAATCATGCTGTCGATGATTGCTTTCCGGCCGGATCCATCCAAATACGACGACTCGATTTTAGCAACAGATCGTCCCAATCCGATCTCGTTCAGATCTGTCCAATCGCTCCAAAACAGCAGCCTATTATTCAACAGCCGTACATCAAATTCAAGAAAAAATAAAAAATGTTATAAGACAATACGCCTGAGGTCGTAATTCAAAATTCGACTTTGCACTGTAAGAAACTGCTTACGAAGGCGAGACTCGAAGTATACATCCTTCCATCACTATGACAGTCACGAATAACGAAATTAAATCTTAATGAAGAAAAGAACTCCGCCATGGCCGGTCCCAAGCCCGGATGAGAAAGGAGGAGGGTTGGAGACCGTGGTAAGTCTCCGT